TTTCTCCTATGGACAATTAACTATCTACCCAAGTCCCAAGACCCTAAGAGTGTCTTCCTTTTATAATTTAAAAGCTTATCTTGGCTTCTGCTGTGTTTCCACTTGTCATGCCGCTGGGCCCTTCTTGATCTCTCACTCAAAAAAGTCATTTCTTCTTTCTTCCCTTTTCTCACTCAGAGTTCCCACATTTTCATCTTTATTTGGGTCATTCAGCTTCCCTGGATAACCCTCCTCTTGATCCCACCTCAGTCTCTTGGAATTTTTCCTGATCACGCTAGTGAATCAAGTTTTTCTTCTACTCTGAATACTCAAAGACCATATAAGCTGTACCCTCCCTATAACAGACCTTTTCACATCTTTGTGTCAAATTTTTCCAAATATTTTAAGGGCCTAATGCATGCCAGTAAATTTGAGAAATGATTTACTTGCATCAGCTTGATAAAGTCTTGCAAAAATTTCAGAAGTCAGAATCTCACTCTGTGATGAGAAAGCGAAGGTCCAAAGGAGACACATCTTTGAAGGACTCAGATATACACAGCTAGTGATCCTTCAGTCTGGACTAAAGCCTGCCTGTAAGATGACAGGCTCATGCTACAATCTATTGTGATATCATAGTACACATGCCGCTGCAAGAAGTACTATGTCTTGGACCTCTTTAGAAGCCACTGGGGTTGACATAATTCAAATCGTCAATTGATAGATATGTTAATAATTTTGTTTTATATATTCTTTGTAACTTGTGTGTTTAAAAGAGAGGTTAACATTGGACTTTAAGCCTACTACAAGCTCTAAATGTCTAACTCTATTCAGTTTTCACAGGTGAGATACACATTATCATTTCTTAAGGGACCTGGAAAGCAGATTTATCCATGCTAGGAAAGATCTTAGAAACCACACTCATCAGTGAGCAAAGAGGATGCAATAGGTCCTGCTAATCCAACTCCCTCCTAATTATATTGGGGTTAGGATACGGGCACACATCTTCCAGTTTATGCTTTGACAGAGAAGATGCAAAAGGCAGGATTGTGCACTACATGAATCTGCTCTGTGGGATTCAGTCCTCCACAAAAAACTTCCGTCATTTTGCTTCAGTATAATTAGGTGCTCCCTGGTGGCCCTGGTGAGAAGTGGTGACCTGCTATGCAACTACTGTGCCAGAGGAAATGGGGAACAATGGCAAATCTTGCTTGAGACAAGGTTTCTCTGGATGTAGAAAAGTCTTCATTATAACCAGGTTGGAAATAGGAGAATCGAGTGTCTGAGATTACTCAAAACACTGAAGAGAGAGATATGATTTACTTTAAGTTCAAAAAGTTCATGTCTGCATAGCCATTGATTAAGGAAATTTTTATAAACCTCAGAGGTTCTGTGAAGATTCTGGCTACTAAGAATGTCAGTCTAAGTGATGAAAGATAACTAGAGTCAGGTTAAAGAATAATGTTTGCATCTTAGCTGTGTGGGTTCAAGAAGCTGTACCCCACTAGAGTTAGCTGATATTATGCAAGCTTTGAAAAGAGAGATGTTTTTGTGACTAGGATAACCTAGCAAGAATAAAAAGTCTGATTTGATGAAAAGCTTCTGGTAAAATTAGAACCTGCTTCTGTGCTTATTCAAGGAAAATGGAAAGTAATGAAAATTAAAAGAGTGGCAGAGGAATTTTGCAAAAATCCTGACAAGATAGCAATCTAGACTTCAATAGAGTTGATTTGTCTTTCTCTATGGTTTCATCAGTCTTTTTTCTTCTTCTTTTCCATTTCTTTTTCTTTCTGTCTCTCTCAAATAGAGGCATGTGCCTTCTTTCTTAGTAAATTTATTATGTTCATAAAAACACCATTTTAGGGGAGTGCATTTAAGCTTTGAAAGAAGTCTCTTGCTCTGAACAATGGAGAAAACTACACACCTCAGCTATTCACCAACAGTTACCGGAAGCAAACTTAAGGTGCAGTGTAAGGTTCTGTAGAGAGAGGAAGTGGCTGGTTTTAGATAAGCTTCAAGAATTTAGCCTGACAGATGGCATTTTCCTAGGATATCATGATTTGGAAACTGTTTATTATATCAAGAAACAAGAATAGAACTTGGAATTGGGATCAGAGACACCAGCAAGTTTAGCATAGAGGGCTAGGAAAGGGATAAATCCAGAATTCAAGATAGGATTTAAGTGTGTTAACCAAAGACGATATTGGACACAGTTAAGGTCAAATCGGGAGACATGGAGTTCACCAATTTGACCTAGCACAGCAGTCATTAATTCATTTAATATAATGGGTGCCATATTTTGTGGTCTACAAATCATGACTGACTTGGTAGAACAAACCAGACTCTAAAGTTAAAGCCGAGGACACAGAAATAAGAATCAGGAGCAATTGGTTCTATGGAAGTACTAATCCCAGAGCCCTCAGAAAAATAGTTTACATTGCTGCTGAACCAACAACACTATGGTGCTGCTGTCTGCTTATTTCTGATGACTAATGTTTTGTTCCTGTAGGCCAGAGATTCAGTGTGATTTCAGAAGTCAAGAGCATCTTAGATCCCTGGGGATTTTTCCTCTTCTTGCTCAGTCTATCACATAGGACAAAAATAGTGCCATGTAAAAAGTGCAGATAAATAAGACTTCCTCACAATCCTGGAATAAGGAGTGGGGATAATGATAGAGAAGAAGCTCTTAGGACAGTACCAGCCTTCATTGAGATTTAGAGTGAAGTCTTCATCCTGCCATTAGTAGGTGGGTGGCCTCATGTAAGCCATACCCCCTTGGAATCTCAGTTTCTATACTTGTAAAATAGTCATTACCATCCTCCATACCTGCACTCATTCTGTATTTCTCAGATCCATTTTCTGCCTTTTCCCTGGAGGGCTGATTCTGCAAACTGTCTATCTCTATTTTCTGAACAACAGGAGGCACTAGTAGGAGAATGAGGGCATGGGAAGGAAAAATAACTCACCCAGTCTCATTGCCTTTGATGGTATTTCTAGAACTGGCTATGGCTCCTCTTGAGTTCCAGTCCCCTCATGATTTGGGGAATTCTAACTTGTTCCTTTTCTAGCCAATCTGAGGAAGCCTCATCACTGCAAAGGGCTGGGTAAATAATAAGTGCTCACACATTTGTCAAAGATATATGGATGTGGAAGAGTTACCTGCCTTCTCTGGGCCTTGCTTTAGGCTGCATCCCCCATTCTTCACTGGGCCCATTCTCTGCATAGTATTTGTTTGGTAGCAATACAGACATAGCATTGCATGTCAGTTTAGATAATATTTTTTAAATAATGTTTTATCTCTCTCATGGGTACAAACAGGTCTCAAATAGAATAGCAGGTCCTGAGTAAATGCTTGTTGTAAAAAGAAAGGTTGAATCTTTTCTTTCTACCCTTCCGTGGTTTGAGATTGCCTTGTTCTCTAGTGATCTGAGGCTGGGAATCCCCTCCTTGAGCCCAGCTGATGATTTCTCACACAGCCCAAGGGGCTCATGGATGTGCCCAGAGCAGCTGTGACAGAACCTGGAAGAGTATTGCAGACCAGGTTTCCTTGGTCACAGTGTAAGCATCTGTGCCAGTCTGTCTGCAGAAAGAAGAGTGGTGCACTACCAGTGTTACTTCTCAGGTATCTGTGCTCCCCTTTTTCTAGAAGTGCAATTCATACTTTTTTACTGCCCACTTCATTGTCAAAATTAAGAAGTGTGGAATAGGCCTCTTAACTATCATTTATCCTCTACTTAAATATTCCCCTCTCGGGTCTCCTTCTGCACGATCTTCGGTGTGAGATTTAACCTCTTCGAGCCACAATGTCTTCATCTGTAAAACTGACAAACTGACACAGTAGCATCTTCCTAATATGATTCTTTTCATAATCTTACCAAATATGCATAAACTATTTAAAAATCAAAGGATCTATGAAATAAACAAGCCACTTCCCTCGTCTCCACCCAAAGACTCATGGATTGCTGGATAGAGGAGGCTGAGTCTTGAGACTTTGCAGGAGAGTGCAAGACTCCTTAAATCACCCCTGTCCTGCTTCTTATGTCAACTGGAAAGCCAAAGATTCACACCGTTTCAGGTTCTGGGAAAGTTATACAACCAGAGTAAAACATGACTCTTCTCCCAAAGGTTATATTGTACTTCAAGAGAGAAAAAGCACAATATAGTTTCTCATCTGTCCTGATTAGCTTCCTTAAAGAAAGCCTCATGCCTTGTCATGTCTGACTAGTTTTGTTTTTTTCTTTTATAATAGGATGAAACTTAAAGATCACTACTAGCAACTATTTATTTTGCCCAACTATCTCAACTAATGAAAAAATGTCTAAATTTGACAGTAAAAATAATAGACTAAGTTGGGATTACTCTAGCCAGCCTGTCTGAAATCTCAATCCTTGGGGCTAAGTTTTCTTAGACTGATTCACCAGAAAGGTCTCATCATAAAGTGAGGCTTCCTTCCTTTTCTAGTAATTAACCTTTAAAAATCTTTCATTTTTCCTCTTGATTTTTCCTGCATCTAACCCGGATCTCTAAAACTTCGTTCAAAAATTTTGAAATTTTTTTTTTTCTGAGAACATGAAGGTCAATATTTTATAAAACCAGCATTAGTGCTTCATTCAAGTCTCTAAATAGGAAGACAGGCAACATTTATACCTTGGTCAGTACTCAGAACATGGGTCCTTCTTAGAGTCTTCCTTTAAAAAAAGGGATTTCAAAATTTATGCTTAACTGAAATGAAAGTTGGATGGGCTGAGTGTACAAACTGTGGAGCTTTTGAGTGCTGGGTTCTCTGATATGGAGAGTCGAGGCCTAGATCAATAGAAATTTGGAGTGTTCATAGGATCATCAAAAAGGTTTCCTTGGGAAGGAGAAGGGACAAGAGCGGAAGTGGGGGAACTAGATTACTTTTTTTTGCTCAGATCTATAATATTTTATTTGATGGCCCAGTGATGCAAACTTTCAATGCCTGTCTCTTCCCATTCCACCATTTTTAACTTTTCCTTTTTCCCCCTTTTTTTCTTCCTTTGCAGGGTGTTTCCATCTATAATGTCAACAATAATTGTGGAGGTATTGTTGCTTAGGCAGTTTTGAAGAGTCAGAAGTGGGATATAATTGAAGAGTTCATTACCAGGACCCGTTGGTCCCCTGACTACAGTAGAAGGTGAAATATTTCTCCTCACCAAAAAGCTCTAGCACAACCGTTTTCCAAGTCACCCACTTTTCACTCTTTTTTCATTTGAACCCGGATGAGCTTGTCAGCAAAATTAAAGGTATGTCATTCACATCGTGCCTGCATTGCAAAGGACTATAAACCTGCCAACCTCTTTGATGAAATAAAAGGGTTTTATTTATGATTCATGTAGGAATATGAGGTTATTTTTATTCCGTCAGTACACTAATAATCAGACAAGGGCCCAGGAAATGAGGAGCCCACTGACAGGGAAGGCTCTGATAAAGGGGAACCCTCTAGGGTGTTTGGCCCTCTTTGTAATCTTTTTTCTAGTGCAGGGTTATACGCATGGCAGAGTGTGAGCCGGCTATGAGGCTTGGCTGCAGGAACAAAGACAGTTGCAATCCAGCAGGACTTGGGATGCCATCGGATGAAGGGGGAGGAGGAGGCAGTCCCTTCCATGGAAAAAAAGTTTTTGCTCCAGCCTCAGGTTAGCAATTTGGAGCCTCCCCAGCTTCCTGTGATGTCTCCAGTTCAAAAGACAGCAGATCTTCCGGTCTGCACTCCTACTGGGTATTCTAGCCAAAGTTAAAAAAAATAATAATAATAATATAAAAAGATAAGTAAAAGAGAAAGAAAGAAAGCCAATTGGCCAGGTTCCCTCCACAATTATTAACCATTTGTTCCTGCCACCCAATGTCCTTGGTTAAGGTGATCTGACTTAAAGGCAAACAAATGTGGCTGGGTATATTTCAAAGGACACCCTTGCCTTGTTATTTCAAATACTCCCATAATTTGGGGCCCCTTTCATCTTTGTTCCTGCTCTAGGAAGTACTTGGAAGTTATTTTAATTCAAGTTGGGGGTAAATTCTCATTCCTACCCATTACTCCCATTGAGATGACCTCAAGCAATTATGAATGAAAAGTTATCACAGCATGAACTGGGCAGCATTAAGGCTTGTGATTTGTTCAACAGTGACATCTTGGGAGAGAAACACAAAGACATGCAATCTACTGAGGATGAAGGGCAAGGAAGTTCACTGGAGGAAGGAAAATAATTTTATTCAATAAGCTGTGAGTAAAATGAGATGCTTTTTAAGAAAAGTTAAGTAAGTAAAAAGTGCATTTAAAATGGTGTTATAAATTCAGATGGAGCAGTGGTTATCAGAGAGGTCCTGCTGAAGGATTTGTATTTATGACAGTATCAGTGAGTGTTACCTGCATGTGTAATATTTATGTGCACACATCTGTGGATCTCCCTAGAGAAGGCACCATGGCAAGGGAATAGGTTTGAAAAGTGGGAGTCCTGGCTGATCCTTCTGAGCTGAGGGTTCAGTTCCCAGTGTTTGCCATCCTCAGTCTGTAAAAAAGGGTGTTTTTCCAAGGGTTTTTGCACCATTGACTGAAACATGCGTTGAGTGACACTTAAACATTCATACAGGGTAGCCTGATCCCTGGAGGTGGCGTCTGCAGTAGTAAGGCCCTTGGCCGGACCATGAAGTCCTGACTCTCATGTGCTGGTGATGTGGCACCCCAGGATTCGTCTGCTTGAGCATGTGGGCCAAATGGTTAAATTTTACCCGCCACTGTGTACTACCAAAAACATAGCAGAAAAATGTCTTACTTGGAAACTATGGTCAAAATCATTCATTCTCTTAAGAAAGCCAAAAAAAAAAATTTTTTTTTTTTCAGTTGTCAACGTATAATCTACTAAGTTTGAGAGTCATAGCGTGTTTGGAAGTGCCATTTTCTGGAAGCCTGGTGATCCTTAATTCTAGTCCCATCAAAGTTAAACTTCGATGTGGTGTTAGCAAGTGGCCTAATATCTGCTGGCCTCAGTTTCATCATATCTAGAATGAGATTCTCCTAGTCTGTTGCTTGACTGCTTTAGTGGCAAATAGGTGTGAGTGCTCCGGAAAGGATAAAGCTTGACCCAGAATCAAGCTGTTTTAAGTGTGAAATTCTACATTAAAAATGGGCTTTTGAAAAAAGAATGTGTGCCAAACAATATCTTAGAGCTGGTTTCTCATCTTAGGTAGGAGCTGCTATTCTTTTGCTACTTCATGAATGGGGAAGGACTGGGGATTATGGGGACCAGAGAGCCAGTTATTGTGTTATGTTTGGCATCCACTCAGAGGGCCATTAGAGAAATAAATAGCCCAGTGTTTGCCATCAGGACAAAGTGAGAGAAGTCCTGGGTCCAAAACCAGTTTTACAATGATCTTGTCTATAGGATCCAGAAATTTCAAGGTTTTATGTATTTTTTATTCAAACTGCCCCCAGTGAGGAGACCTTCATCCAGTTAGAGGCTGCAAACTGACCAAAAAAGATATAAAAGAACTCTTTGGAAATTATAGCATCTCTGCAGTTCCAAATACTGATTTTAAATGTGGCCTCTTTCACCATGACTGAGAAAAGCCAGGGCTGTAAGAAGAAGTGACCCTGCATCTTTATTCCCACAGTGAAGAAGCAGCCTCTTATGGCTACTCTAGCACCAGGAGATGGGTCAGGTAACAGTACCACCAGCCCCAGATTTCAGCCTCATGGAGCTGTGAAGTTCATTATCCTCCTGTTATCAGCAGAGAGGTTTACAGCTGAAGCCATGAGAGAGATCCGTGTGAAACATGAGCAGGGAGAGAGGCACTGCGTCTCACCATTAATAAGCCCTCTTCTGGGATCCAGCATTAGTGAGATTCAGCGGATCATGGAGCACAGGGGTATCATTTTTACATGATTACTCTAAATTCTTAAACCAGAGGCTTAAGAGAGAGGCTTCTCACAAAAGCAGCTGTGGGAATTGTTGAATGATTGGTACAACACTTGCACTGGGTTAAACCATTCAGGTAGCGCCACTTGGGCTCACAAGCAGGTATTAAGCTACCTGCTTTCCAAGGGAAGAGGAAAGGGAGAAGGAAATGAAGGGACATCATGAGGCAGAGGGAAAGATTTTCTCACTCTTTCAGCTATGGGCTGTACTCATTACAACTGTCTGCAGCCCTGCTCTTCCCCCTTGCACTCCTGGGAGATTTGCTTGGCTTTTCTCCATTTAGTAATTTGGATTATCTGTCTTTTGGACACTAAGGCCACTGCTTGTCTTTAAAGAGGACTGAACTTGTCCTCATAAGCTCTCTTCTGCCAAAGTAGGAAATCTAGTTAGTACAATTGGTTCAGAGAACCAGTAGCTGTTTTCTGCCCAAATATGCTTCCATTTTCTGAAATAACATTTGTTTGTTTTCTGTCATTTTTTGACTTGAAATTCCAGAGACTCTTATACTCTATCTAGAAGGTCTCTTGGAAGGTAATGTACCTAAGTATGTCAAGGTGAGACAACACGGCCTGCCAGTCCGTGAATCAAGTAAAGTTGGGTTCCTTAGCTTGGAACAGGGACTACCTGCCTCTATTCAAAATTGTCCAACATTCAAGGGAATTTTCTCAAGGAGAAAGTTGATTCATCCTTCTCCTAAGTCTCTCAACATGGTAAAAACTCAGAGGATGGATCGAAGTCTTAGTACACCTTTAGCTTTTGAACTCTAAAGTTGCATCTCTCATCTGATTCCAAGTAAATAAGGGTATTATTTGCAGAGTCTATTTTGTCCTTAATCATACCAGATTTCGTATTTTTTTCTTATTGTTTCAAGGCTAATGATTTTCTCCACATTGAGAAAATCCTCATTAAGAGAAGGACCATACTCCACTGTATACTCCACTTGAGCAACCAGGCTCCTAGCACAGCCCTGGGCAACTTTAAAACCGACACCAATGGAAATGCAATCTGGCATTTTTCAGGCTCCCGATATTTATTTGAAAACTGTTTTTGAAGTGTTTAATTCTATATGAGATCTAGAACTATACTGTTATAAACTGAATTGTGTCCCCACAAAATTCATGGATTGATGTTACAACTGCCAACATGACTAAAGTTACAGACAGAACCATGGAGGAGCTGATTAAGGTTAGATGAGGTCGTAAGGGCCGGGTCCTAACCCCATAGGTCTGGTGTCCTTACAGGAGGAGGAAGGAATACCAGAGATCTCTTGTTTGCTGCGCGCGCTCACACACACACACACACACACACACACATACACACACACACACACACCCACACACCCACACCCACACACATACACAGAAATGGGATGGAACTAGAACAGGTAAATGAGATCTTAATAGTAAATCACACTGGGTCTCTTCTATTATCTTTTCCTCTGTTTGCTGGTTTGTCTGACATACAACAACTTTTGGGAGCCTATGGACCTGCATAGGAGCTGGTGCCAGAGAACTCCCACCTACAGTAGTATTTTGTTTCTCACAGACCATGTATATGTATATCTCTTTGTCAAAACTTTCTCCTCATAAAAACTAGAGGAAATAATAACTATTAGGACAATAAACTGTCAGTACAGAAAATACAGTTAATTTTCCACATCAAGAAAAATTTCAGATGAGTCAATGATCTAAGTGTAAGTATAAAATACAAAATACTGGAAGAAAAGTTAAGAAAATATTCATATAATTTTGAAATAGTTGAGATCTATCCACATGTAAAATTAAAGATGGAAATTCTGAAAGAACATTTTGATGCATTTTTAACCTTATAAAGGTCTGTATTATCTGTATAACAATAAAATGAAATCAGTTAAAATATCATAAAGTTTTTTAAATGTCAGGGGACATATTTGTAAATATTTACTCAACATAGTAGTAACATATTAAATATATGTGGAATTGTGAAGTAAACAAAGTATAATATAAAATATATTCAACAAAATGTTAGGTGTTAACATGAAGAGTTCTTTCTAGTTAGTAAAAAAAATGTCAAACATTGTAATATAGTGGGCAAAGAATCTGAATAAGTAACTCATAAAGTCAAACCTGAAATGCCAAATATACAGTAAAAAAAAAGTTTTGTTCTTTCTACACTTCAAATAACTGCATATGAAGACAATAAAAATAGTTTTCTATATCACAGCATATGGGAATAGTTTTTTTTTTAATTATAACTTCCAGATTGGCAAGGGTGTGTTTCCTCACTTTTATAAAAGTGCTGTCGATGGGGGTAAATCAAGAAACATTTCTTGGGGATATTTGGCAATTTATCAAAGCCTTAAGATCTATTACCCTTTGACTTGACAATTTTGCTAAAAATTTGTCCTTTAGAAAATAATTGAACAACTCGGCATAGGGACAGAAATGATTTGTTTATATGGCTACAAGCATTGGGGAGAAATGTAAATATTTAACACTAGGGGACTGGGTGAATCATATATATATATATATATATATATGTGTGTGTGTGCGTGTGTGTATGTGTGAGAATAGCTATTAAAATAATGATAATATATCAACATTCTAAGACATTAATGATATATTGAAAAGGGAACAATCTATAAAGATATCTACACATACAGTGTATCATATATGTGTGTGGGGGGGGTGTTTATTATGTGTTTGAGAATTTTCAAAGAATGTCCACCAGAAGTTTACAGTTTAACATAAATCATTTGAGTTTAGATTATGCCATTTAATTTAAATTTTGTTTCATCTAAAAATTTCTCAAAAAGTCTGTTTCTTGCAGAAAAGTAACAATGAAGAAGGTGGAATAAAAGAGCAGAGGTTATAATTGGAGAAACAATTTTTAGAAATGCAAGCGTTGTGAGACCTTTTACTATATTGTTTCTCCTGGTGTTTCTTAAAGGGTGGCCTGAGCATCACCACAGAAGAATTGTTCTAAGGCTTTGTTACAGTGCAGATTCCAGAGCTCTACTTGAATCTATTAAATCTCAATATCTGGGACAGGGTCCAGGAATTTACCAATTTAACAAGTTCCCAGGTACTTTTGTGGGGTATTATTATGCTGGCTGAGAACAGTTGGCTGTAGAAATTACCTAGACTCTTACTCCAGGCTACTGAATGGTGGTAAGTGGTACAGAGTAACTATCATCCACTAAGTACCTTCCTCATCGGTGCAGTGACTACTGGGTGTTCATTAAAGTTGCCAAGGAACACAGCTCAGGCATCTTGAACACAAGGAGAAAGGCCTCCCCCTCTATCTGACTCTTCTCTTTTTCTCCCCT